AGATCAGTACGCAGCGGCGCGGCGCAGAGCTAAACTAAATCTCAGAATTCTCGGACAAATTGACGGTAACGGCAGCTACATCTCGGACAGGTTTTAAGCCACGAAATCGCCAATAAGGTTGCGCATCTTCTTATTTCTTCAGTCAACGATAGAAGTTAAAATATTTCCCTGAAATACATCCTCGTACATACTGTAGATTTGCACTTAAGAGTCTATTACGCTGTACTTTTGGGTCGCCATCAGTGGTCGGGTAAAGCGGGTGTGTGACCGAAGAAAATATATATAATATTTCAGAAATCTGCCTAAGAAGGCTTAGCCCAATCCTGTTGTGTTAAGCCACACCCAAAATTCGAAACACACGTGCTTTGATTAAGGTTTGCAGAGCTTCAGAATTTGCCATAAAATGGTGAGCAATTTGTTACAAAACCATATCAATTATATATCACTGTAATCACTAAACTTCAATCTATTTCTGTATTGTAACGGAATTTTAAATTATATCTTTATTTTCGAGAAAATTTAGTCCAAACATAATGAATATTTTGTTGATGTTTGACCATGAAAATCTTAAAAATAAAGAACTTGTATAAAAATATGCTACAATACGGATATATATATATTATCCTTTATCTTTAATTTCCTTCTTGATTTGTGTAAAAATACTTAGCCAGTTTTACATAAAACGTTAAATGCCGAACGCTTATTTTGCTACTTGTTCGAACTAGTAAAATGGACTCTTATAGAAAATTCCCAAGTTTTTTATTCTAGGAGCTTCAGATGCCCGACGCATTATTGCCGGACCCTGTAGAATGTAAAGAAAAAACAAGTTTTCATGTAACTGATTTCGGCTATTCTAAAGTCGAGGAAATAAAAATGACGCATTTCCACAGTAGTGATTCGGCTAAACAAAAGTTTACCCGTAATTATATGAAGAATAGTCTAAGAGCTGGCTACATAAAAAACCTTATCATCGTTACATGGCTAATTTTTTTTGTGAAGTATCCTTATATGTAGCCATTCTGAAATAGGCATGTCTGCCAGCGCGATCCCGGGGCTTAAAGCGGGGGCTTCCAATCGAGGGTGAAATTTTGACTCTAAAAATATTAAAAGGTACACGAGTCATAATTGCAAAGATAGCTTGTATTTATTATTAAGAAACGTACATACATACATACATACATACTGTCATTACTCGCTGACGAGTATTTGACACGCATCAGAAGATGGTCACGCAAGGCATTTTCTTTCATAAGCTTTTCTGTGACTGAAAAGTCCGATAGGTGATGTTATCTGTCTACCGCACTCCAGACATTCAAAAATCTCATTGCTTTGTTGCCTCTTTACTTTTTGGTTGTCGCTGTTAACTGACTTTCTGTGACAATTCTTCTCCATTCCGTTCTATTGTGAGCTGCCTCTTCCCAGTCATTCTTCGTTGTCAATTCCCTTTAAGTTTTCGTGGAAAATATCCTTGTACCTTTTGAGTTGTCCACCCGGCCTCCTCTTACCGTCTACAAGTTCACCGTAAAGCAGAGATTTTGGTATGCGGTTTTCTTGCATTCTGCATACGTGACCGGCCCATCTTAAGCGGGACTTTGTAATCATGACTTCAATACTCTCGCAGTTAGCTTTTTCAAAGACCGATACGTTTGAGACATGATGGAACCATTTTATTCTTAAGAGTTGTCTAAGATGTCTCTGTTGCAACTTGTTTAATGCGTTCATTCGTTAAGAAACGTGGAAAATTGTTGGCAGACATTTTTCTCGTCACTAAAATGCCGACAGACAACGCGAAAGAGGCATTAAATTTTAAAAAAAAATTATGGCACACATGCATGCCAATTGGTGGAATGTCATCTTTTGATTTTCAAATTTTGTGAGTCACCTCTATTTGCATCCATTCTTTTAGTTTCATAATCATAGAATAAAGCCATAAGCATGGTAGGTTAAGGAATTATACCGTGTGTAAATTTGCAGTGTAAATAGGCAGTTCTAAAAAGTTTTCTGAAATATACATACAGAAAAATTTTAAAAAATGCACGATTTTGAACATCTTTTTGCGAAAAAACCTTGTAGACGTCTTCCTGGGGTCGAAATATATCACCCTTAAAATTATTCGCACTTATTTAAGACTCATCCTGTATAAGTTCAGGGAAACGCTTGCCGCGTTATCAATTGAAACATATAAAACATGTATGTACGCATGTAAATCTACGAAAATTTTACGATGTTGGATGACGACAATGGATGATGCGAGGAGTGTTTCCTGAAAGCTCTAGAGCAGGGTTTCTTAAACTTTTTGCAGTCACGGACCACTTTCGCAATTTGTACAATTCCATGGACCCCAACCAGAAATAATAGAGGAAAATAAAAAAATCTTATTTACATAAAAAGAAAACGATTATTAGTAGATTTATTACGTATACTAGTAAATTAGTGAGAAGGATGCTGGTGTTTAGCCTCAATGAGAACGTTAAACATCTGCTACGTTCAATCGGTTGCGACGTTGTGACTTTTTGTTTTTATTGAGACCAGAACCGACAACCCTGCCCCGCAGAGGTACGTAGTAGCAAATGGTACCAGAACGGAAATAGCTCGCTTGACAAGAAGAGGGTAAGCTTGACTTAAAGAACACCAAAACTCGGCAAGATCTTTTGTATAAAATTCAGCTTTCAAAACTTCTTTTAATCTCATGTCAATTAAGTCACCTTTAATGAGATCTTCATCGCTGATATTATCCGTATCGATTATAAATGGACCCCGCACCCACGTTTCATTTACAAGCGATTCTAAGTTAAAGTAGCCTTCAAAAGAAGTTTGCAATGTATCCAAATGCTTAGATACAAGAGGTATATCTGTAGCATTTTTGATATCGTGTTGCCGTCACCTTGTGCTATTAACTCTTCAAACATCGGAAAATTTTAATTTTTCAACAACTTGTAAAACATTCGACGACATTTCAACAATTCTAGAATGAATAACATCGTTTGATAAGGGAACAGCTTCGACTTTGTTTTTTGATCCTTACGTGCATCGCGTAGTGTTTAGGGATTAAAGACCTACTAAATTCGCAGCCCTACACTATTTCTTTTCTTAATAAATATGTTTACAGTTAACTGTCGTAATACGGACCGCGGACCCCTGATACATATGCTATGGACCCCTAAGGGAGTCCAAAATAAACCCTGCTCTAGAGTAATATCGCGCTTTTGATAACTGTCTGCCGCTGATTTAGCCACGGTCTTTTTGTCTGCCCTTTTACATATGGCTTTTAGAAGAAATAAATATGACATTCCACCAATTGGCATGTATGTGTAGGTATGCCATTTTTTTTCAAAATTTCATGCATCTTTCGCGTTGTCTGCTGACATTTTAGCAACGAGAAAATGTCTGCCAACAATTTTCCACGTTTCTTAATAATAAATAATAGTTATTTTCGCAATTATAACTCGTGTACCTTATAATATTTTTAGTGTCACATTTCACCCTTTCGATTGGCCGCCCTCGCTTTAAGCCCCGGGATCGCGCTGGCAGACATGACTATATATTTCATAATCGCTACACAAAGGGATACTTCACAAGAAACATTAGCCATGGAGCGATGATAATGTTTTTTTATGTAGCCAGCTCTCCGTCTAGAAGTTTGATTGATTAAAACATTTCTGCTTTTTAATAATGAAAAATTTTGAAAAAGCTTTTCTGGATATAATCTAGCTTCTTTATTAAATTTTTTAACAATAGATTTGTTATATTATTTAACAATATATTTGTTACATTATTAAACTTAGATATCTAAGGCTACGGCAATATTACAAACCATGATATGCAATTCCGTTGTTTTATTTCAAATTTATAGTATTTGAAACGGATAAACTATACTTTGCATACTATATTACATATCAAGTAATATACCTGAAATATGACATAAGATAATGTGCTAACATTTAAAATATTCAAATTGCTGATATTTTTGCATAAATAATTATAAAAAATTCGGAATTTTTTTATTTTAATTATAAGGTATAACAATTTGCATGTTGGTGATAAGAAACTGTATACGAATGTGTAATTTTACTTCTAATAATGGGAATGTATCTTTTGACCTGAATCATTTGTTTTAATGAGGTATTTTTTAGAATTAGAGTGTTTAGCGGATTTTAGTAATAGTGAATATTATAAAAAAATATTTATAATGTACTAATATTCTGATAATAAGAAATTTGTAAATGAACATCAATAGAAGCAGATAGTAAGATAAGAGTTCCATAGAGTAAAAAGTAAAATACATTGTCAAAAAATATCTTCATTATTAATAAGCTGACAGCGAATCAAAAGTTAAAAATCAGAAATAGCTTTTTCTAATGACTAGCTTTCCATAGATTAAGGTAATTATACTTATTAAGGTATTAAATTCTAAAACAACTTGGTATACAGTTCCTAGAGATCGAAAGGCAGTATTGTTCACCCTTTTTCACTAACGATTCTTATGTATTACTTGTTTTAAATTTTTTCCTACAATTTTTTTTATAATTTTAAGTTTTAGTCAAACTGTTTATATTTAGGAACTTTTACTCACAACCAATTCATTACCAGCCTGCCGTCTTACGATCATTTTCACGGTCATCTGCGTATCTTCCTCGGTATTCGTCGATATTGTAGACATCATTAATATCTCCTCTTCTCTTCCTCAACCCGGGTTCATCCATTCCTAAATATTGGTCTCTCCTATCCTTTTCCATGTCTCCCTGTTCTGTGCTGTATTTAATCACCGTTTGCCTGCCACTTCCCTAATGTGATCTGTTGACAAACGTTTCTGTGGACGTCCCACACTTCTTTTAGTTTGCCGTGAATATATATCTAGATTATATATTATGTTATGTAACAAGTCATTTTCTGGGCTCCATTAGGCATTATTGACTACCGGCACAGACACGATGACCAGCTGGTGCTGAATAAGCTGTAGTATTATTATAGGTATTTATATGTATTTTATTTTCATGCAGGTTCATTACTGCAACGTGGACAAGACGACAAAGTTCAATATTTTGAAGATGCACTATCGACAATGTCCAAAGAACATACCTTAAAGTTCTCTAGGATCATACTAACTGAAGATGAAGATGAATTAGAACAAGGTAAAAAACAAAATATATCTCGAAAATATAACTTACAAACCTATGTATTATATCAATCGTAACACTACACATATGTCCAAAAGTAGGTATTGCATATGAATGTTTGGCAAAATTCCAAGCATGTTCTATGACGTTCATATCTGTATGGCGGTGCATTGTCATCAACGAAGACAAAATTTGCTCCAACTGCTCCTCGCAATAAAGGCACAATTGGGTTTGGCACCTCCTGAATGTAACCTCGTCCTGTCATTGTTCCGTCAATAACAACTAATGGTGCTTGATCACTTCTCATTATCGCAACCCAAAACCTTACACTAACCAAAGCTCTAACCCCTTGAAATGGGTCGCAGGGGTTGAGCTGTAACTAATCTGGCTTGTCGTCCTGGGGCTCTCCAGACATGGATTCGTCGACAATTCAGAATCCACTACTAGGCCTACTCCTGTTTTATCTGAAAACCTCGCTGAAAACATAACATTTTCCCAGTTGTGATTTTGTTCAACCATTTCCTGTGTCCATTGTAACCATGTACCTTTTTGCTGTTCTGTTAATTTTGGAATTCGTAAAGGTCTCTACTACAACGATGTTGATTAACAGACCATAATCGGCATGATACATTGTTTGTCTTGATACAATAACTCCCTCAAACCGTTAAAGTTCTCTATATAAAGCGCTCGTTGAACTAAATGGATTCCTTCTAGCAATTATTGACAACTGACGATTGTATTTTTGTAGTGTTTTTTCGACTTGTTCCTGGTCGGTCTGGACAGACATTATTAATTCTTGAAATATCACTTTGATTAACGCCTACAATTTCTGCTACTCCAGTTTGTGATAGACCTTGTAGTAATAAAGTTATCACTTACTTCTGTTAAAGTAGGAAATAACATTTCTTGGCATTTTTATACGGTAATACTGTGATCAGAATTCAGAATGCAGAAAAGCTAAAATACTACTAAGCCAGCACAATTTATAAATTATAATAATATAAACAAATATTTGTTATCTTACTTTATTTTTTGGTAAAGTTTGTGCAATACATGTGAACCAATACCTACATACTGAATATTTAATTCTAAAAATACAATGATATACTCTATTTATCGACATGTAATAATTTTGGATAATGTGTAGTGTACATCATTAGATTTTACACTCTTACCTTCAGAAAATAGAACGACAAAGTTTGCAAGCAACCACCTGAAAAGAAATCGTGTATAATAATAATCAATATAGTCATAATATAGTCAATAAAGTCATTATTATAATCTGTGTGGATATGAGACCTGGGCTGTTAAATAAAAAATAAACACTTTTTTCATAATATGCAGTACAGTTATAATTAATTATACTATTTTACTGTTTCAGTTTGTACTGGATTATCAAATGGCATCAATTTTCTTCTTGACTTTACATGGTCTGGAACGGAAACAGCTTTAGAAATAGCCAATGATATAAATATACCTTACATCCATGTTGACATATCCATAGCCCCATTTTTGATATTTCTGGATGCATATCTTGACAGTAGAAACTCTACAGATGTTCTGGTTGTGTTTGACAGAGATGATTGTAAGTATTAAGCAGCAAAATAATACACTAAATCACCACAATACACCAAAACACTTTTACTTTTACACTGGACGCGCGTTTCGCTAACCATGTTAGCATCATCAGCAGATGATTCTAACATGGTTATCATCATAGCGATATTTTGCTGTGTAACACCAAAGGTTCCAACCCCCAACTGTAAAGTATTAAACATGCTAAATTAATTTTTCCAAAAAATAACAGTTATTTACGATAATTACTGATGAGTGAGACTCTCTTGGGGCTTGGTGTTGGTCTCACTCAAAAAGAAAGAACGAGACCAAGACTAGCGTTAGATATGCAAGACCAAGACCACTAATGCAGGATTTGCGCAAGATCAACACCAAGACCCAACGTCCAAGACTCTTGCTGTTTTTTGCATCTTTTTCATGTTTTTATTTAGATCTTAATTTCTATAGATAATAGTTATAAAAATAAAATTTTTATTTACTTAAGACTCATTAAGAACTTCGAAATTATTGGAATAAATTAGAGGTTTCAATTATACTTTATACTTAACACTTACTATCATTCACAATGTCTAGAAATACATTTAAAATTAATCGAATATACTAGCAACAGCTTGCGGTAATCAGTTGTATGTTGTATATATATGAATATATATATATATATATATATATATATATATATATATATATATATATATATATATATATATATATATATATATATATATATATATATATATATATATATATATATATGTCGCACCCACTTAGCTTAGTGTAATTGTCCGTTTCATGAAATATCCACTTCGCGAACTGCAACCAACCAGTTCGCGAACCTAACCTAACCTAACCTAATCAGTTCGCGAAGTGGATATCCATTTCATGAAACGGACAATTACAGTAAGTGGGTGCGACATATATATAATGAAAAATAAAAATGTTCGTCAAACAAATATTGTTTTTTTCTTTAAAGATTTATTTGCACCAAATTACTTAAAAAATATATTCAAAAAGTACTAGATATGCCAGGTTCTAAATTAATATCAAGGCTGCTTTCTGCAAGACCAAGAAGGAGGGAATCTTGGTTTTGCACAAGGGGTGTCTCACTTGGGTAAAAAAATGTACATGTACTGCAAAAATATAATTTTCCTGCCAAACGACTGCCAATACCTACGAAGAAAACTGCCTATGTCTGCCATATTATAATGGACTGCCGCAAGACTGATGCCAACGATTGCAAGCGACTGCCAAGAAATTGTACATGTAATTCCAACCGTGAGACACCCCTCGGTCTTGCATTTGCTCCTCAGCAAAGATAATTTTGATTTAAATTGTAGATGTAGATCAGGCGTTGTATTTTTGGATTGATTCAACGAGAATGAGGATGGTTCTATCAGAGTCTTTTACCGAAAGAACTGCAAAAAGAATTGAACAAATCAGACCAATACCCAATTCTTTTGCCATCATCGGAACTATGGAAAATGTTACCAAATTATATCTTCAGGTAAAAACACATTACTGGTAACAAAAACTAAAACTTTTTTAGAAAATATTCCAATTAGTTAAAAACTTTTTGGTGATCTTATGATTAATATTACTTCTTCCAATGAATTTCTTTCTTCCAGGCTCAACAACAAGGAATAGTAAACCTTCCAGACCGTTGGAATTTAGTCCTAACAAACTTTCAAACCCAACCTTTCAACAAAACCATTCTGGCCGTAGATCCAGTATCGCTTTTATCAATGAAAGACGACCTCTGCTGTCAATTGATGCAACACGATTTTTGCCAGTGTCCTGATAAACTGGCCATAGAAGATTATTTCATTTACTGGACAGCTCTGGTGTTCGATAAGATACTCTACACTGCTTCTCAAGAGGAATGGGATTTTAAGGGAACTCCACAATGTAACGCTTCAAGGTATCCTGATGAAACTGTAGAAAGATTTAGAGAAGTACTTGAGAGAATTGTCGACGACAACGAGAAGGTTATGAGAAAAGATGGATATACAGTCAGACTAAATATACAAGGAGAAGTAGAAAAGTCATACAACGGACAAACACAGGTATTAATAATAAGATATACGTTGGTCCGAAGTGTATTCAGGAACTTCGGCAGCATATTCAGTAGATAAAAATAAGTAAAAAAGTTGGTATAAATTTATGTCTAAACGGCTTCGTGTCGGAAATACCGAGGGAAATACAGAGTGTAGAAGTTTTATTTTTATTTGAATTATTTTCAAATAATTTCTGAACTAATGTCGATAATGTGATGGCATAAGAAATTTGATTTCGATGTCAATATAACTTCTACTTGAAAGAAGCGCCAACTAAATACTTTTAAACTGGTTGAAAGGGTAATAACTTTCGTGCGTACCTGTATAAAACTAACAGAGTGAAAGATTCTTTTACGTAAAAATTGCCATTTGTTAAAAAATCGCTACGAGTTCTTAAAATATTTGGAATATAAATTATGTCAATACAGGAGTGTTATACAGGGTTGTCACCACATACGACACGAAGTTTTGTAGCTAAACTATTAGATTTTTGCAAATTGTAAGTTTTGGGTTCGTTGAAGGACTATTAGAGCTACAATTCAAAAATATTCCAAGAAAGAAATCCGCCTAAACGATAAAATTAATTTTAAATTCCTTATTTTGTTAAAAGATCCTACGGAATGTTTCAAAGTTTCGCCAAAATATCAATGTCAAATATAAGATACTTGAGAACTTTTATTTGAAATTTAGAAAGAATCTAAATAGTCAAGATACAGAGTATCCCAAATAAATACAACACCCTGTATATTATTACATTTTTAGTTTCTACGATTAAAATAAACATAAATTTAATTAAGGTTTACCGCATTTTAATCTTACCGTTTTTGAAATATTTAGGTTTGTGTCAAAATACAGTAATAATTTTAATGCTTTATTTCTCTAGACGTATTTAAGTTTTTAAAACCAAATATTGTACTGAAATATTTCTATTTACTATATTTTGTGTTGCAATAATCAAAATTATACTACCTTATAAAGAGTGCCTAAAATTTATTAAAAATGATAATTCGCTTTAAACGACAATAACTTCTTTAATTTAAATGGAACACCCTGTATATTTTATGGTAATCAGAGGCACAATTTAATTGTGTATCAAATTGTATTATGTCATTTTTTACCTATGTGTTCAGGTTTTCGTAGAAAATGCATTTTCTTATAATTTAGACCTCGATTATCAATATACCCATGGGATATTGACATTTTTGATTATTTTTAAAGATGTAACAAATTTTTAAAGAGTGCAGATACTAATACTGTCAATATAGTTCGTTTATGTCAGTAAAAAATAAAAAAAATGTTTAAATATTTATGAAAGAGGACCAATGAATATGATTCCAGTATTCAAACTACATTAATTGACTGTTTGCGTTGATTAATAATAATTGATCCAAATACTAAAAAACTGAATTTTGTATGTGTATTAAACAGTGTAGCAAAAAGTAACACCTTAAAAATTTTATTTCATTTTTTGACTAATGTTTATTTATAACAATAGAGAATTTCCGATTCCAAATCCACGTTTATTTAGAATAATTTATTAACTAACACAATTAAATATGTAATTAATTAATACCTATTTGGGCGGAAATAATGGTGGTGTATTTAATTAATGGTATACTCTTTTCTAAAAATATAAATAATTTTATTTTTTTATACAAATAGGCTGGTAATATTATCGTTTTTAGCACCTGTACATTTTGTACATTTGTTGCTTTAAAAACAATCTAAAATGTCAATAATCCATGGGTATATTGATAAATGAGGTCTAAATTATAAGAAAATGCATTTTCTATGAAAACTTGGAGGGATAGGTAAAAATGGCATAAGACAATTTGATGTACAATTAAATTGTGGATCTGATTCTCCTAAAATATACAGGGTGTTCCATTTAAATTAAACCAGTTATTGCCGTTTAAAGCTAGAAATTATTTAAAATAAATTTATAGACACTCTGTATGAGGTAGTATTATTTTTATTATTGCAACACAATAACTGATCAATAACTAAACTTCAGTAAATATTTAGTATTAAAAACTTTGATACCCTTGGAGAAATGAAGCCTTAAAATTTATACTGAAATTTCACAAAATTGAAAATATTTCAAAAACGGTAGGGTTTAAGGGTGATAAACCTTAATCAAATTTACCTTTATTTTAATCGTAGAAACTTTATTTGAGACACTCTGTATCTTGTAAAAATATTTTTATATTGTAGCTCTAACAGTCCTTCAACGAACACAATACTTACAATTTTTAAAAATCTAATCGTTTAGTTACAATACTCCGTGTCGTATGTGGTGAACAACCCTGTATAACTGCATATATTTTCAGGGCGGGTAGATCTCGATAAAAGAAACATATTTTCTCTATACTGTTTTTCAAATCCAAAATAACCAAGATATATTGAAAATTTCCAAAAAAGTGACTTTTTACGTAAATTTTGAGAACCACTCTGGATTTTTTCTGATTTTTTTCTTGTAAATTTAATCTTCCAATCTACCTGCCGACCTGCCATATTATCAACAAATTATGGTTTTTAACCAAAAACTAGAAAAAAATCCAAATTTTCAGTTTTTTTTTATAAATACTACCCCTAAAATATTTGCACTTAAGATTCACCCTGTATGTCATCATTGACAAAAAATATATATGTTGACTAGACACTTATTTCACTGAAATGATATAAATCTGGGATTTTTTTTTAAAATTAACCGTTATTTTTACTACAAAGAATTATGATCAAACAGTTTCTGTTGAAACTTTGGCATAAAAACATTTAAAATTTATTTCAGTCTGATAACTATCTACTCAACATGTTCAATTTGTGTCAACGACAGAGCCGGCGGCGGTGGAAGGAAAATATTGAGCCCGGGCAAGAACCATATCTGGCGCCCCCCTTTAGTTATCTCTTTCTTTCAATACTATACTTTAACTACAACTAAGCATATTTATGCTACTTTAACAATTAATTTTTACTTAAAGATACTTCAAAATTATTCTTCTCTTGGGTCAATCTTAGTCTACGGTTGTTATTTTTCCTACACCGGGTGCGTCTCAAAAATGACTCACCCCCTATAACTTTTTTATTTTTTTAGATAAAAAATCGAGATTTGGTATGTTTTTCGTGTCTTGTCCAGGCCGGTTAAAACATGCCCAAATCGTATTTTTAATCATATCTTAATTTTTTCAAATGGAACAAGGGTGGCTCATTTGTAAATTTGGAAAAAGCATTTTTTACGAATAATTTGAAACCACACACCTGGTATTTCGAGTCAAATTGTTACAAATTGTTATCCGTTATAAACCGCATGTTACAATTTCAAATTAATTATATGCGAAAGTGTCAAAAGTTGACATATGATATGTTATTTTATTCAAAGTGTCATTTTCTATCGCATAAAGCAGAAATATATCAAGGGTGCTATTTAAAAATAAAAAGTTGTAGTAATTTCCGGTGAAACAGGAAGCGACCAAAAACAATTGAATACGTCAATTAATCTTAATTTATGTCGTATACTAACATACCAAATCTCGTTTTTTCATCTGAAAAAAGTTATAGGGTGAGCCACTTTTGAGAAGCACCCGGTATATAGAGCTATAAGAAATAGAATTCCAACTTCGGCAGTCTCCGTTCTGGTATAAGTGATCTCTGAAAACATTAGTATTTAGTTACAAGCAGTTGCATTATCTTTCTATATGAATTTAAGAAAATTTTCCTTTCTTTTTCACAATCAATTATTTCGTGCAGAATCAGTATATGATCAGACAGTTTTGTCGGCTGAGGAAAATGAGGATCAGCCAGTGTTTGAGATGCATTTCTTTGTGAGAAATTTTTCTTTGTGAGAAATTTTTCTTTCTGTAATTTCTCTAATGAGAAATTCTACGATCCTGGTACATTTTCCGTGTATTACTACATATTCAATCCGGAACAATCAAAACCACCAAAAGATTGATATCTTTCCCAGTACTATTAATAAATATATTTAATTAACGAGGCAAACTTATAAGCCTTTTTTGATAATAAGGATATCGGGATACTCTTCAGCTTCTTGCGAATGAATATCATTCATATAATTTTAGGGCATCAGCCATTAATAATAAATAAAGGTTGTGGGTAGTAGAAAAAGTGCGATTTTGAGCGGTCAGTCTAAAACTGTCAATTTTGCTGGCCCTTGACCCAAAAAGAGTTAGAAATTTATAAAAACGAGAATTATACGTAGAAAGAAGGATTATTTACAAAAAGTTGTTAGTTTTTGAGTTATAAGTAAAATACCACAAACAAATCAAATTTATATTTTTTTTATATTATTTTGTTTAAGATTCTTCCACAAAAATGAATTCGCAAATCCCAGTTTCGAATAGAGCATCCAAAAAACATATAGAAAAGAAGAAATCAAAACTATCCCAAAGCTTTCGTGCTAAGGATTTTTTTGAGCATAATTTCAGTAAACTATAATAGGATACGTCTAGGATATAGTAGTGTTTATAATGTTTAGTCAGATATTTCTTCCCTATGTGGGTATGGTAATTGATAATATTTTAATGTGGAAATTGATAGTATCGATTAATTATTGATCTGGTTTTTCATTACTATTTGTTTATATTACTGTTTTTAAATATTTTAATTGCCGTCGTGGCGCCCCTCGCACGCGGCGCCCCGGGCGGCCGCCCGGGTCGCCAGGCCCTTCCGCCGGCCCTGGTCAACGATGACACCATTGATTATTTTGATTCCAAATATCTCGACTATATCTCGAGAACCATTACTCGTTGCGGTTCTTACGCAGACATCTTTTTTACGCATAAAATAGCGGAAATTATATTTTGAGTATATGTTTTAAGCATATTTTTTACTCAGTATTTTTTATACGATGTACGGACAAAAAGTTATTATTTTTTAAACCAGTTAAAAATTATGTAGGTGGCTGTCATCGAAACCAAATTTCTCATGTTAAAAAACTCCCAAAGATCAATTTTCATCTAAATATCGAGTTTAGTTCAGAAATTATTTGGAAAAATTCGAAAATGAAAAAAAATTTATACGAACATTTTTTCTTATTTTAATATGCAGAATACGCTGCCGAAGTTTCACGACAGTTATTCGGATCACCCTGTATATTATCATGGTTTATTGAATTAGTATAGCTATTGACCATACTATTTTTGTCTGTGTAGGTTGTTGCAAACTATCGGAATGGTAAACTGACTGTGGAATCAGATAAAGAAATTGAATCGATTAAACCGTTTTATAGGATTGGGATAACTCACGTAAGTATAGTACCGTATGATCGAGAAAAAACGGCGTCAAAGGCGGCTTAGGAATGACTATCGATGCTATTTTTGACGAGATAGAACTCTAGACGTCAGTTACTGAGAATTGACATAAAATTTGTCAAAAATTAATACCTTTTATAGAAAAACCAGAAAAGAATAGAAAGTTTCCAGATACACATATCTATTTCCAAAAAATTGTTTTTTCAAATGTTTGGATCTGCACCAGTTCTACTCAGTAAAAAATCGATATTAAATCATCCTTAAATGCAGTAAACGCCTTTTTCAAAATAAAGAAGAGTAAGGCCAGTAAGACTCTAACCTAACTAAATCTCGTCGTTCGACAAGCCTCCGACCCCTCCGACCGAAACATTTCGACAAAATTTTTGATTATTGTGCTGCTAAAATGTACGGATTAGCCTTTTATTATTGTTTCATACACACTAGACCGTTCAGATTTACTAATATTGCATTGATTGTAGCTGTAAATAAAAATGTGTGTTTAATACCAGTAAATAATCCGTTAGTTGATGAAAGAAGTATCGTGTTTATCGACAAAATTAATTGTAGGCTTTTAAATTTTGCTTAATATGGTCATATTTTACAATATTCAACTCATAATTGTTGATACTTCTGGTGGATGATGATGTTCAATTTATACATATATAAATTATAAACAAACCAAATTGAAGTACTAGAAACAATAAGGTGAGATAGTAATTTTTACGAAATCCCTGTATTATTACTTCTTTACTTATAGAGTATCTGTTCCTGTGTATGCCCAAGTTTCTGTTTTCTAAGAAGCATATTAATTAAATGAACAAAACTGTGTCCAAGAAATAATCTATTGCATAGAGGATTTAATGAAAACAAAATTGGTGATGCTGTAATCATAAAGTTCTATGCAGGAATCAATGGTTATTGCTAAAATATGTTATTAGTGTATTGTCAATTTTATTTACTTATATATTACGTTATTTAATCTCAATAATTTTAGGCTGGTAAGTCATATATTTACATACCTAACTTTTAACGTAACTACTGGTAGATTGCAGGAAACATTATACACTTTGGAACAATTGAAGTAAATAAATGAATTAATATAATACAAACATCAAGAAGTAATGTATAATTTTGGAAAAAGCTGTATTAATCACTTTCGAAAATCATAATTGTTTTTTTTTTTAGTAAGTCGCAGAACTTAGACAAATAATTTAGGTTTGTTATTAAATTAAATGTAATAAGTACAGATTTAGACTCTTGAACCAGGCATGGTATATTGATTAGTAGGGTCCACAGTAAAAAATATTTTGTAATACCATTCGAAAGAAAATACAGACCTATATTATACTGTTTATAAAGTAAGTTTTATTGTAACATAACTTAAGAAAACAATTAATATGCATATGTCAATCATAAGAATAGAATCTATTAATTTAATGAACTATACCCATAGTACTCGGCAAACAGTAAACCAAACCAAAGAAACTAAGACTTACAGTGTTAGATCATGTAGTATATAAGTATTTTAATTTTATCATTTAATAAATAAATACAATATAAAATTTAAAATGCCAATTTTTTTATTTTAAAACAAGTGATTTATATATGTATAAACAATTTACAATTCTTTATCATTTAATTTATTGCTCACATCTTCCGGGATTATAAGGCTAATATTTTGCTGCTTATAGTGCCTATATCTCAAAAAAAATTAATTAGATTAATTAATGATTAAGTATCACTGTATTTTTAAATGTTGAATCTTATGGACTGAAAAAACTGCTGATGATATTTCTACTTTCACTGACTGAAGATGCAGAAACCTAGAAGAAATTCAAAAACAAATTGTACAAACATAACGTATGACTATACATTTCGGTAAGTCAATATCGACAAAGCTTTGATTACAGCATCACCTATTTGGTTTTCTTTAAATCCTCTATACAATAGACTATTTCTTTGACATAGTTTTGTTCATTTAATTTGTTTCTTAGAGGTTATACACAGGCGTAGATATTCTATAAGTAAAAAAGTAATGTATAAGTAATAATACAGATTCTTAAAAATATCTCACCTTACCGTTTCTAGTACTTCAATTTAGTGTTTATATTTTATACATGTATAAAATTGAACATCATCCACCAGAAGTATCAACAATTATGAGTTGAATATTACAAAATATGACCATATTAAGCAAAATTTAAAGGCCTACAATTAACTTTGTTGATAAACACGATACTTCTTCCATGAACTAACAGGTTATTACTAGTAATTGAACACACATATTGGTTTACAGCTACAGTATTAGCAAATCTGAAGGGTCTAGTCTGTATTAGACAATTACAAAAGGATAATCCATACATTTTAACAGTAGAATAATCCAATTTTTGTTAACTCTAGACGTTATCGAAATGCCTGGGACTGGGACGGGCGATAGTTAGGTTAGAGCCTTTTTGATTTTTCTCTTCTTTACTTTTAAAGACGCATTCTGTATTAATTAGGATTTACTGGATTTACCTAATATAGATTTTTTTATTAATTAGAACTGGTATAGTTCAAATTATCAGAAAAAAATATTTTTTGGATATAAATTTCTGTATCCGGAAACTTACTATTATCTTCTAGATTTTCTACATTTAGTATTAATTTTAATTAAAATTTAACTTTTTTGAAGATCTTTAAAGTGAAAAGAAGAAGAATTTTAATTAACTAAAAAAATCAAAATAAAGTTAACTAACTTTGAGCAGAGTTCGACCTCGTCAAAAATAGCATTGATAGTCATTCCCCAGCCGCCTTTGACGCCGTTTTTTCTCGATCATACGGTACTTCCAAAATCAGTTGTAGTGGTTAGGGGTTCTTAATTTCTGCACTACCTTTGTTGGCGCCATTGTCAGCATCGTCTCGGCAATCCCAGTCCCCAAGAGTCCCAAACCAGTCCAAGTGACTTCGGAACCATACCTTATCATATGATTAAAATGTTAGAGAATATACCTACTTCTCACGAAAAACGTGCACCTTAAAATTTTCATGTATTTTTAATTTCAATAATATTTTGTTCTAGTGGACCAATTTTGACAATTTTTTAAGCAATTTGTAGCTAAATTATTTGATTTTTAGCCTCTTTTTAAATTGGAAATTAAATTCGCCATCTTTCTATTATACGAGAGAAATCAAAATGTTCTTATTTTGGCGATGGTTTAAAACACCCTGTGGAATGATTTAACAAAGCAAGGAGTTTATAAATCACGTTACCATCAAGATTCATCTTTTCCCGATAGTTTTTTTAATTCATCTCATTAGCAGATAGATATAGAAGAGTTAAGAAAGTAACGTTTAGTAACATATTTAGCATTAAAAGTAAGCCTTTGTTTTTGGTCCTATAATGATCACTATATTAATAAAGTAATATTATTTTTTTTTGTAATGTCACTGAGTGAAAAGTCATATCATGATTGCTTGTTGGCAGTCAATCTAGCAAAAATGATTTTATGTTCAATATCGACTATTGTTGCTTTAATTGAATCTGGAATTTATATAAAACTAGCGTGTACCAGCGACTTTGTTCACGTCGAATTAATCATTTGTAATGGTGATGATAAAGCAAAGCAAGAATTTCCATTAACATACAAACTGGATAAAATTTTCTCACATTTATGTCAGCATGAGAAAAAACAATATAGCGATATTATTATATAACTTGGTAATATTTGAGGGGTAGTTTCATCTCGTTGGAATTTGACTTTGGAAAAATTCGTTTGCCAAAAATAAGCTTTTTACGTCAATCAGTTTAAGCAGAATCGTGGTTAAGAATTTACCCAACTTTTTGGAACACCCTGTATGATTTTTTAAAAAATTTCAAAATATGTAAAAAAAATAAAAAAATTATGTTTGTCCAAGCCTTTTCCCGAAAGACTAACCGTTATTAAACAAAAAATATTGTAATATTTGAGAGGCGTTTTCACCCTCTTGGAATTTAAGATTCGAGAAACCCCTCCTTATCGAACCCCACAGTCAATCCGTTTGCCAAAAATCAGCTTTAAACGTCAAGCAGTTTAAGCAGAATCGTGATTACTCAATGGTCATATTTTATGAAACACCCTGTATACATTTATAAAAAGTCTTAAAATATGTAAAACAACAAAATAAAATACACGTGTTTCAGCGTTTTTTCGGAAACTTGACCGTTTTTTAAATAAAAAATATTGTAATATTTGAGGGGTGGTTTTACCCTCTTGGAACTGGAATTTCGAAAAATCCCTTCTTATCGAACCTCTACACCCTAGAATCAACCTGTATGCCAAAATTGAACTTCTTACGTTGAGTGGTTTGAGCAGGATCGTGATTAATCAGTATGTTAGTCACTTAAGGATTTTATATATTAGTATAAATCAACCTTACGGTGACCACGATAACGACACAGCAGAGCACACAATCCAGAGTGCAAAAGGTGGGCCTATGAACGAAATAAATTAATGGAGAGTCTTAATACAGAGGAGCTAACTTACACTAACTTGGTTCCAACGATGGTTAAGAGCTCAAACGCACTAACTCGACGGCCAGGTCGCAGCGACCAGCCAACGGCCAGGACGCTAGCCCGTATCATTGGATTTAATGGTATTACGTGCCGCAGCGACCAAACTGGGCGTGGACGTTAATGCGCGTTGTATCATTTGATTGGTGGTCGTAGGCTGGCCGCTGAGACCTGGCTGTCAGTGCGTTCGAGCTCTCAGTCAAATGAGAACTGGAAAGCTGCCCGGGAATATATGGAAGTGCTGATATCTGCAAAAGAAAACGAAGCCAAAATATTTGAAAAGTAAAAATAATTTTAATGTACTTACCATATTGCTCAAATGTCCAACTTTCACTGAACTGCTCAATTAACTGAAACATCACACTAAAACTGCCTACCCCAGAAGTAATCCCGAAAGGTAGTTCCTCGGGGAGATACTCAAAGCGGTTTGTGGAGGTTTTTTTAGTCGCTAAGGTACCTCAACCACCCCGAGAGTACCACCCACGGTCTCTGGTTTGCAGATTTGTCCCTCACCAAAAAAATTGAACCTGGTAGAGATCAACTCCTGGACTTACAACCGACTCTGCTAGAATCATTGCAGCCAACAAACAGTAATAAAAAAATCGAGGGGTGTCTCACTATTGGAATTACATGTACATTTTCTTGGCAGTCGCTGGCAGTCATTGGCAGTCTTATGGCAGTCGCTTATAATAATTACATGGCAGTCATAGGCAGTCTTCTTCGTAGTCATTGGCAGTCGCTTGGTAGTAGAATGATATTTTGGCAGTACGTGTACATTTTTTACCCGAGTGAGACACCCCTCGAAAAAAATAATTACAAACACAGTAAGCACTATTTGAATGAAAGAAATGCTTTCCAATGTTCGCTTCTTCAAAAGCGAAAAACTCCAAAACCCAAAAAACAAATTATCGAGAAGAAATCCGCCTAAACGATAAAATTAATTTTAAATTCCTTATTTTGTTAAAAGATCCTACGGAATGTTTCAATGTTTCGGCAAAATATCAATGTCAAATATTAGATACTTGAGAACTTTTATTTGAAATTTAGAAAGAATCTAAATAGTCAAATAATTTAGGTAGCTATACATATTGTTTAAAAACTCATCAAAATCGGTTCACTAGAACAATTTACTGGGTGTTCCTTAATGGCATGCTAATATTTAAGGGGGTTAGGACCTATTCTAAGAAAAAAAATTAACTCGAAATAATAACTCTGATTTAATTACAGATATCTTTATGAAACTTCATAAAATTCGTCTTCTATGCATCAAAATACCTTTTTTGATGTACAAAGAATTTTATTTTTCAACCAGTGCTGTCCATACGGGTTTTACATTGAATATTTTTGGAGAAAAAAATGACTGACCTCTCTTAAAATAAAAACTATTTTTAAAATCTCCAATCATTTCTAAACATTTTTTATCTGTTGATTTTTTTCGCCCGAGGCATAGTTTTTGCTTAAAAAATTAGTCAGATTACTTCAGGGCCAAGTCGCTGAAAATTTAATGCAGTGACTGTTTTGTGAAATAATTTCTGCATCGGCTGGAAGGATATTAAGAAACAAAACAATTTTTTTGTATATCAAAATAAGGATTTTGATGCATGGAAGACGTGTATCAAATATAACATCAGAGATATTTTGAAAAGAAATTAGAAAATTAAATTTTAGCACCCTATATCTGAAAAGTTAAGACGTTCAGGACATATTATATTCATATAAGTTTTTTTCTTAGAATAGGTCTAAGAATCACCTCCTTAAAGCATGTCATTAAGGAACACCCTGTATATTAAACTTTAAACTTGTGTAAAAGTGTAGATCTGAATCTCTCCTAAACAATGCAAAAGTAGAATAATGTCTTATATATTTGATAGATGATTTAGATGATACTAGTGCTAAACTGTAAACTGATATTCCTTCTGATATAATTAATATTTTTCTCAGGCTTTGCCTTGGTCTTACAAAGAAAAAGATCCAGTAACAGGAGAGTACTACTGGACTGGATACTGCGCAGATTTTGCTCAAAAAATATCCGAAGTCCTGGGTTTCGATTTCGAATTTGTTGAACCACAAACCGGTACATTTGGTGAAAAAGTTAATGGTACCTGGAACGGAGTAGTTGGAGATTTAGCTAGAGGAGTAATCAAAGAAAATAAACCGTATGATCGAAAACAAAACGGCATCAAGATGACTTGGAACTTGGAAATGACAATACATTCACGACATAATTTTACATTTAAAAAAACAACAATTTTTTTTTCCAAGACATCTCTAACGCTGTTTTGTTTTCAATGGTATGGCGTATTTTCTCAAATTATGTATAAAAATATTTCAGGATACTGACTTGGCGATAACAGCTATCATTATGACAGCCGATAGAGAAGAAGTTATAGATTTTGTGGCTCCTTATTATGAGCAAACCGGTATTAGTATAGGTACTAGTATCAAATTATTGAAAGGAATATCAAAAATCTGCTCTGTTTTAATTATAGTTATGAGAAAACCAGTACGAAAAACATCACTTTTCAAGTTTATGACTGTTCTAAAGCTAGAAGTCTGGTTAAGCATTGTGGCTGCTCTTGTAGTTACAGGATTCATGGTTTGGTTTTTGGACAAGTACTCGCCTTATAGCGCTAGAAATAATCACAAAGCATATCCATATCCTTGCAGGTCAGAAAAATTAATTATGTCACATGATGTGCCATGATTTCTCAGATATAGTATTTTTGAACATCCCCTTGTATTTCATTTCCTTTTTTTTTCTGAAGAAATAATTATCAAATAGAACAGGCATGTTCTTCGGTAATATTAATCGACATAGAATGATCACATAGCAAAAGTAACACAGAAGGCTACTATCCCTTTGGGTATATAGGTGCAGAAGAATATGTAGAAAAAACTGGGGACCTAACCCTAAAATGACTCTATGGTTACACAAGGATTGTAAGATCCATGAGAACCTAGGGATCGGTGGTGTGGTGGACAAAGACTTCGCAAGGATGAACTCCCACAAATGCGATGGAAGTTTTGTCGAGCTTGCCACCACTACACTTTTTCATGCAAATCCAACCCAATCTGTTATGGACAGGTTAATTCACGATCAGCAGCACATAAGCTAAACGCATAGTGCTGAAAACCTGAAGCTAATCGAAGAGCTAAACGCAGACAAGGTATTGGGATTACCGCTATAGATGCAATAGCTATGCGAGGTATAACAACAAATTTAACATAAACATACCAGGAAGGGAAGACTGGAGAAAAGGTGTAATTGTTCAAGCTAAGGCAACCTAGTATACAGACGGCTCAAGAACGTAGGAGACATAGGAGCTGGAATAGTAGGCCCGACACAAGGAATATCTTTCCACATAAGCCTATCTAAAGATGTCACAATTTTCCAGACGGAAATAACGGCAATCCACTATTGTGTCGAAGAAATATCAAGGTAGCAAAGAACACATCGTTTGATGGCCATCTTCACAGACAGCCAAGCGCTAATAGCACTCGGTTCCACGGAGGGCAGTTCTAGACTAGTGTGGGATTGTATGCGTGCTCTTAAATACTTTAGGTGGGCGTAGCAATGTTACGTTAGCCTGGGAGAATTCTGTAAGCTTTGGCCTGGGTACCAGAAACCAGGTACCACGAGAGTCAACGAAAAAGGAGTTGAAATGCCCTAACAAGACTCATGAATGCCATTCAGAGGCCCAGAACCCTTTTTTCGGCATTACAAAGGCAGTCACAAGAATGGCCACGGAACAATGGATGGTCAAGAAATCTCTAGAATGGTGGAGAAACTCACCCGGACAAAGACAGGCGAAAAAGTTCATCATTGTAGAATATTTACCAAAATTCACGGCAGACCTGATAAGCAAACACAGACAGTCAAAGCTGTAGTGAGTTTACTAACAGGGCATTGTAAACTGAATAGATATCTACATGAGATATCTAAAGCTAATGGGATCGACGGACGAAGCCATGTGCAGGTTCTGCCAATTTGATGAAGAAACGATCGAACATATTTTATGTCGATGCGACAGCCTCGCAAATGTGCGGTTCTCGGTAAGGGTGGGTTCTGTGCGGTTCTCGGTAAGGCAGCATGGAGAGTTCATTCTCCAATTTGCTAGACTTTGATAAAAATATTGGAGTGGAGAATGTAACCTAAGGATCAAAAGAGGACCACAATAGATCTGTTCAATTAATGTATCTGGTTCAATTGCATGTTCGAAGTCAATATCCAGATCATTACGCAGCGATATGAGACAAGGGCACACAAAGAACACGTGCTCCGCGTCTTCAGTAACTCCTAGACCGAACGGGCACTCTGGGAAATCGTTATGTTTAAAGCGATAAAGATATGCTCGGATGCAGCAATGTCCTGAGATCATCTGTGTCAGGTAGTAGTTGACTTCACCATGGTTTAGATTTAGCCAAACATTCATCTGAGGTAGAAGACGGTACATTATATAGACTATACTTCGTTGCGGCATCCCATTTTACCTGCCATCGCCCTACGCTATTTTGCCGGCCTTCTCTTCGGAGTGCATCAGGGCAGAAGAGTGAGTGTGTTGACACTCAGTGTTGACGATCCCCTTTGTCAATAAAGGGCTTGCCGTTCTTCGGCTAGAATTCGAATAGCAAATATTCCAGCAATAACGCACACCGCATTTTCAGATACCGTACGGAAAGCACTAGCTACTCTCAGAGCACTCAGCCTATATAACGATGCGACTCTTATCCGTGTTCCTTGTATGCTGAGGGCGTCAGCCCAAATTAAGTCCATATTGTCAGTACCGATGTGACTACTGACGAGCATTGACTTATAGTACTATACTGTTTCTAGCACAAAGTAGGATAGTACGTACTCTACCACTGTACCACTGTAAGCTGCGACTACTGTTTACTACTATTTATGTAAACCTGCCTTAAGTACCAATGTAAACCTGCCCATAGGTATTGCCAAATTATACACATTTTGCTATAATTGTTACAAATCAAAACTACAGCTGCACAAAATTCACTTAAATTTTGTCATTATCTTCTATCCCATTTTTAGACAATTCACTTTAAAAGAAAGCTTCTGGTTTGCTCTAACATCTTTCACACCCCAAGGTGGTGGTGAAGCCCCGAAAGCACTATCTGGTAGAACTCTTGTCGCAGCTTACTGGTTGTTTGTTGTTTTGATGTTGGCTACTTTCACAGCAAATTTAGCTGCGTTTTTAACAGTGGAACGGATGCAAGTGAGTCACAATAATGAAATAAAAATATGGAAAGAAAGAAAATGTAATTTAATATTTTTGCGCAGGCCCCTGTTCAGTCTTTGGAACAGTTGGCTAGACAGTCGAGAATAAATTACACAGTGGTTAAAGATTCAGAAATTCACAGTTACTTCATTAATATGAAGTTTGCAGAAGATACATTATACAGGTATGATCCCAAATTATTATTATAGAATCAAAAATAACTATTATAAGGTGTCATTGTTAGATTTATCACATAAAGTAAAACTTGATTTAAGTAGGAAATGCGCTGTATTGTACCGTATGATCGAAAAAAAATGGCGTCCAGCTGGCTTGGAAATGACGATCGATGACATTTCCAATATAATTTTACATATAAAATGACAGCGACCTTCATTTCATAGCCATCGCTGACGCCGTTTTTATTCGATCATACGGTATATTAACAGGTCTTTTTACTACTCATGCAGAGAAAAAATACCTGCTTTGAGCTCCAATGAGGCAGACTGAACATAACGACAAATGTTTAATTTTTGTTCTTAGAAAAACAAACTTGTGAATTATCGTATAAATATAGAACATAATTTATATTTTAGGATGTGGAAAGAACTTACCTTAAATGCTTCTACAGACGACACTAGATACAGGGTGTGGGACTACCCGATTAGAGAGCAATACGGACACATTTTGCTTGCAATCAACGACTCGAATCCTGTAGAAAATGCTTCGGAAGGCTTTCGATTGGTTGACGAACATTTAGGTTAGATTTTTTATTAAGATTCACAACCAAACTAAATTCCCACTTAATCTAAATATATTTTTATTCATTCAAATAATGAATTTTAAATTAAAAGCAGTGGAGTTTAAATATTTGACAACGTTTTTGCCACAATCCAAATGCAAAAATACCTCGCGCAAATTGGGCCGTATTTTTTCGGATAAAATTTTTCTAAATTTTCACCACCTATGTCTAACAACTGAGTGGGTTGTCTTCTCGGCTGACGTCGATTCCGAATTTTCTAGATTTATAAATACCTTGTCTAATCTGGCGTGCAAGGCGTTTCTTCTTAGGCCTATCAAAAGTAAGCAAGGTATACCCTGGTCTACGACAGGCTTGCGTATATCTGCAAAGAACATGCGCTCATTATCTCACCTTAAACAATTCACAGACAGCGTTTTCTTTCATAATTACTTAACTTTATAGAAGGGTTTATCGTAAGAATATAAAACGACCAGGACATTTATTATAATGGGAGGCTAGCCAAATCCGGTAATGTTGCTAAAGAGACTTGGGCTATTGTAAATGACTTAAGGAATAAGACTTCTTCGTCTGGGACAGTCTTTAATTCACCTGAAGATTTAAACACTTACTTTGTTAATGTGGCTAAAAATTTAGTGAACTAACTCCTTCCCATGACTCACTTTCATATCTCCTTAAAGCAAATGAGAATTAACACAGTTTCTTCTTCACGCCCGGATTTTATGATATATAACATGATTTTATCCATTTACAGTTTTCCTTTTGTAAAATTTTCTAGATACGCCTGTGTTCTGCAATGTCCATGATGTATCTTTTATTTATAATTTTAATGACTTACATTTTTTTTAATTGATTTGTACTGCATGACATTTTTTTATTATTTGTATATTTGTTTTTGTGCATTTTTCTTTTGTGAATGCTTTGTCGATGAAGTTGTTTTGGCTTTTTGTACAATAAAGCGTTGTTTTTTTTAATACTCTTGTTTATACCGGGTGCCTCTCAAAAGTGGCTCACCCCTATAACTTTTTTACTTTTTCAGATAAAAAAACGAGATTTGGTATGTTAGATTAATTAATTTGGTATGTTAAATTAATTTATTAATTCTGAAGCATCAAAATTAATAAATGTAAAGATAGTATGAACAGAGTCAACGGTCCAATTCCTTCAAGTTCTTTGTTCCTACTACTTTAGTAGCGGAAATCTAACTGTTACGCTCAGTTGGCTCTGACTCGGTTGGCTAGATTTTGCCACGCCCACTCGGTGCCCACTGAGCGAGTATATAAACGCTCAACTTGTAGATTGTACTTTAGTTTATAATCTGCTGATGATGCTAACATGGTTAGCGAAACGCGCGTCCAGTGTAAAAGTAAAAGTGTTTTGGTGTATTGTGGTGATTTAGTGTTTTTATTTTGTTGTCTTGTATTTAATCATATCCCAATTTTTTCAAAAGGAACGAGGGTGGCTCATTAGCATATTTGAAAAAAGTATTTTTTTACGAATAATTTGATACCACACACTTGGTATTTCATGTCAAATTATAAGTTATAATTTCAAATAAACCATATGCGAAAATGTCAAAAGTTCACATAAGATGTTATTATATTCAGAGTGACATTATCTATCCAATAAAGTAAAAAAGTCCCGGGGGTGTTAAAAATCAAAAGTTGTAGTCATTTCCGGTGAAACCGAAAGTGACCGAAAACAATTGAATACGTCAATCAATCCTAATTTATGTCATATACTAACATACCAAATCTCGTTTTTTTTACTAAAAAAATAAAAAAGTGATAGGCGTGAACCACTTTTGAGACGCACGGCGCACCCAGTATACAAGGGTAATACCAAAAGATAGCGAGTTGCAAAAATTTTTGATCATCGAAACTAAATAATGGAAACTTTCTTTTGTAAAAGTAATTCAGTTATGTATTCATGTTTAAGTTTAATACAGTTTGATATCAGAATTTGTCAATTTTTCAGGAGGTTGAAAGTGTGAGTTGAAACTGAATTTAAAATAAGTGCAAATATTTTCAGGGCTGGTAGATTTTGGTAAAAGAAATATATTTTCTCTTTACTGGTTTTCAAATAAATCCTAAATAGCCGAGTTATATGAATTTGGAAATATTATTTTTATTATATATTTTTTTAAATATCCAACACTGTTAAGCGGTTCACTCACTGGTTCTCTATAAACGTCTAATCTATCATCACTGTGAATCGTCCTGTATACATTTAAAATAAGAAAGTTACTGTCAACTTCAAGTATTTTGGGAAATGCCTCTATATTGCTAATATTTTTATCAAAAGTGTTTTTTCTTCAACATACAACAATGATTTGCAAAACGCCTTAAGCAATAGTCTACCCTAAAATATAATTATTGTGGCAGTTACAATTTTGTTCTGTTATTTTGATTCAAAGATTATTTGAAGAATTATTGTTTTTGTCTATCCATTTTGGAGTGCCCATCATATGAGTATAGTATCATCTGAGTAGTATATATTGAGTAGTATCATCTGTCGGAAATCAGTCCATATTCTCTCGCTGAGCTTATATATTTTTGTCTAAAAACTTCTATTTCGAACTCAGCTAAGATTACCCTGTAGAATATTTTTATGTGTAGATATAATACAATATAATCGAAAAAAAACGTCGTCAGTGAGGGTTATGAAATGAAGGTCGCTGTCATTTTATATTTAAAATTATATGGCGAATGTCATCGATGGTCATTTCCAAGCCAACTGGTCGCCGTTTTTTTTCGATCATACTGTATATATTTTTTAATAAGTTTCTTGTTATTTTAATTTTAGATGCCGACTTTGCTTTCATCCACGACTCAAGTGAAATTAAATACGAAATAAGCAGAAATTGTAATTTTACTGAAGTTGGTGACGTGTTTGCTGAAAAGCCATTTGCTGTTGCTGTCCAGCAAGGTAGTCATCTACAGGATGACCTAAGCAAAGTGTAAGAATATATAAACCAAAGAACAAATACAAAGATTTGTATCAAAATAAGTTTTTCTGGCGGTCACTAAAGTTTTTCGAATAAAATCCACTCTGTATACAAAATAACGAATGATTTTTTCAGAATATTGGATCTCCAAAAAGATCGATTTTTCGAACAACTTCAGGCAAAATATTGGAATCATTCAGCAAAAGGAGACTGTCCCAGTACTGACGATAATGAGGGAATAACCCTCGAAAGTTTAGGTACAAACTTCTTTAAATATTAACTACCTTGAAGTGTTTCAATTTATCTTTTAGGTGGTGTATTTATTGCAACACTGTTTGGACTAGCACTAGCTATGATTACCTTAGCTGGCGAAGTGATCTACTACAAAAGAAAGGGCAAAAAAGAAAAAGAGGCATCCCAAACAGAATTTACCAAAAATTTTCCATCTAAAATTCAACCGTTTAAATTTCCTAAAGGCGATTATCCACCAGAATTGGATAAATTCAACATTTCAAAAACGATAACTATCGGAACTACGTTTAAACCTGTTAATCTAAAGGAAAAAATGAAAAAAGATATGGAGAACGTCAATATTTCTCATATTTCTTTATATCCAAAAGCAAGAAACCGAATTACACGTGTTGATTAGACGTTCAAACGTTTTATTTTATTTTTGGACATCCTGTATAGCATACTTTGATTTAAAAAAGTATAATATTTTAATAAAACTTACCTAAGATTTATGTTTTGTTTTTTTGCTCCATTGATTGATAATCATGATCATTATATTTAATTTCAAATTATTAGCATTATTAGGTATTTATAATTTTGACATTATTTTGACCATAAACTATCCATCTATCCCTTTCTATCCATAAACAAAGATTTTGTGTGTATGCAACCAAAAATTCTTTCTAATACGCGTTATTCTAGAAACGTCAAAAGAAAATCAATTTTTTTAAGATGGCCGACTCCGATAAAAGTGGAGGAAGTACGGAAGTGGCAAACGAAATAATGCGTAAGAAATCGGAAAGTGAAAATACCAAACCGAATAATCAAGATGAGGACAGCGAAAGTACCGAGGAACAGCCTCTGGACGTTGGCATACATTATCTAGTCCGCCGAACCGATAATTCTTGGTGTAAGTGGAAGTTTGTTTATCCTAACCTAGAAAAATGTCGGCATAGTTTCGTATTATTGTTTTCGCAGATCGCTCAATACGTTATGTAATATTTTGTAATTATTTTTAGATCCAGGAGAAATTATCCAGTCTCGTTTTAATGAGGTCGAAAGACAGTATGAGTATTATGTTCATTATGAGGGATATAATCGACGACTTGACGAATGGGTATGTGTTTTAAAAGTTATTGTTTTTTCCTTTTCTTATTTTAAACGTTTTTTTTAGGTACCAAGAGGAAGAATTATGTCCTCAAGATTTAACCTGACAGATGGGCAGAAAATCCCTGATATTAAAGCATGGAAAGAAAGACCTGTTATTACAGATTTACTCGCTGACAATACTGACCGAAAAATTACCAGAAATCAGAAAAGAAGGCATGACGAAATTAACCACATTCAGAAAACCTATGCTGAGATGGATCCAACCACAGCAGCATTAGAAAAAGAACATGAACAAATTACAAAAGTGAAATATATTGACAAAATACAGATTGGTAGGTTTGAAATAGACACATGGTATTTTAGTCCGTATCCAGAAGAATATAGAAGACAGTCGAAACTTTGGATTTGTGAATATTGTTTGAAATATATGAGGCTTGAGAAAAGTTATAGGTATCACATGGTAAGTGCCAAAATAAAAATTGTGTGTGCATTTTTCAGTTATTGAATATTTTAGAGTGAATGTACATGGAGACAACCTGTAGGAAAGGAAATTTACAGGAAAGGTACACTTTCTGTGTATGAAGTTGATGGAAAAGATCACAAAGTAAAAATTATTACTATCAATTTTTAATTGATTTCTTATAAAATTTTTATTTCTAGGTATATTGTCAAAATTTGTGTTTATTAGCCAAGTTATTTCTAGACCACAAAACTCTATATTTTGATGTGGAACCATTCTTATTTTATATTTTATGTGAAGTTGACAAACAAGGAGCACATATTGTTGGTTATTTTTCAAAAGTACATACTTTTGTAGTGTTTTCATATAAGAATTCAAAATTTCATGTTTCTTGTAGGAAAAAGAATCTCCAGATGGAAACAATGTGGCCTGTATTCTAACATTACCACCTTACCAAAGGCAAGGCTATGGAAAATTGCTTATAGCCTTCAGTTATGAGCTATCCAGGCTGGAAGGCACAGTCGGTAGTCCTGAACAACCTTTAAGTGATTTAGGAAAACTCAGCTATAGGAGTTACTGGAGCTGGGTTTTGTTAGAGATATTGAGGGATTTTAGAGGCACTTTGAGTATTAAAGATCTAAGGTAAGATTTTATATTACTCTATAGATTTATTTAGTTTGTAAAATTGAAAAGTTTGAACCACTTGCTACTTGACAGAATGGTGGATGGTGTTCTCTGTTCTCTACATGTGAGATATATGTCTACATTTATATTGGATAATTTAATGTAGTTTATTTTTGTATTTAAAATGCTAACAAATAAAATAAGAAATAAAGAGTCTGGTAAATATTATTGAGATTTTAAAACTCAATATTTACTTGACAGAATGGTGAATTCTGTCGAAAATTGTGATTCCCTACATGAGATAATTTTGTCTGCACTTAAATTGGTTATTTTTTTTTATTTTTAAAGTGTCAACAAATAAAATAAAAGGCTTGCTCTTTCATGTTTATTTTCTTAAAGATGTCATTGAAGTGAAACTTCTTTACGCGCGATGAGAGTAAAAATTCAAGGCCGTGGCACGACACAGCCTTGACACCTGAGCTAGTGAGAAAATTGAGGAAATTTAGATGGCTCTTTGAAGGGTCCTAACTCGGGTCCTATGTGAGCTAGGGGACTGAAATGACGGTTTGTGCACTACAAAACTACATCATCAATGAATCAAATCTAAAAATCGTCCGATTTAAATGAAATTTGGTATGTTGATAAATTGGACCAAGGCCAACTTAACCGTGCACGACACGTGTCACTGTGGCAGTTAGTTTTGACGTAAGAAACATTAAAAGTTGATGTCCGATCGCGACCACATTTGGTGAGTAGGCTATGTGAGCGACGGTGCACACGGTCCCTGCGAAGTTGGATACGACGTTTCGTTTACATCTTCATCAGACTGTCCTAAATATTTGATATTGAAGAAAAATGTGGGTCGATTTCGGCATAATAGGGGACGGGCTATAGGATGACGCCCTCGACGTTTTGAATCGATGCCTCTAAATGGGCGAAATCATCAGGATTTTTCTTAATAATTATGGGTCGATTGATTGGAACCAAACTCGGCACATGGATGAAGGTACCCGAATGGAGTCCTCAGACGGACAAACAGACAGACGGACGGAAGTAAGAAGTTTCACTTCAAATACGCCCACGTACTGCATACAATTTTTTTTTCTTTTTTCATTCACATTTCATTTTTCACAGCTATTACAATGATATCATTACTGATATTCATCATTGGCTAATCAAAATTTGATAACCAGCGTCATTAAATTATATTTTAAAAATATATTTAACAAATAAATTCTCTTAAGAATTGGTTGACAAAAAAGTCGCCTGTGTTGCTTGTTTAGAAGTAGAAATCTAAAAAAAATATAGAATTTCTTGACAAAATGGTGAAAAAAAAATTTTTAAGGCAGTTTTTTTAAGAAATATTTTCTCATGGCATAATGCTGTTGTAATTGTTTGATCTAAGATTTTTTTTATTTAAATTTACTATTAATATTACACAAAGTTTTTTTCACTTTTTAGTCAAATGACAAGCATAACACAAACAGACATCATATCTACGTTACAAAGCATGAATATGGTAAAATATTGGAAAGGACAACACGTGATATGCGTGACGCCAAAACTAGTAGACGAACACATTCGATCCAGTCAGTACAAGCGACCTCGTCTTTGTGTTGACAGCAGTGCACTCAGATGGACACCGAGACGACATGTCAACAACAAAATCGGAAAGAAGTGATAACAACTTCATTTTTTTTTAATCTCAACAAACGTATTTCTTTGTTATAACATCTGGATTATAACTTTTGTGATATGCTTCAATTTTATTTTTTTGTCTCGCAGACTAGTATGTAGGTTATATAGATTTTAGGATTATTTAAAATGCTATTTGATAGTGTTTGAAATGTACTGAATTATTAAGATATTTTTTAAATGTCCTTTTTTGTTTTGAACAATAAAAAATGAGAAAAAAAACATTGCATTTTATTTCTTCCCTGATTGAAGTGTTCTATGCAGGGAGGGTCTCAAATAGGTACATACATGTTTTTAGGGATGGTATTTTTTAGGGGTGGTATATTTTGATCTCGGTAACACATCTATTAGGATTTTAGGGGGAAAATGGGTCAAAAAAATGTTAAAGTAGTTGTACCAATTTTTTATATTAATATTAACTGATATTAATAGATGCAGATATATTGCAAGAGAAGTAACTGGAGGAACACCCAGTATATCCCACATCCTAATAACCAATATACATTTTTTACTGTAACCATTTTTGTAATAGGCCATAATAAAAATATAAATTTATAATATAAAAATTACATACAAAAACCTTATATTCAAAAAGTTATCGCCTCGCGAATTGTTTCTCACTTATTCATTTCTCACCCTGTATTCTCACCCTGTATACAGGGTGAGTCTTAAATAAGTGTCAATCTTTTCCGGGCTGGTAGATCTCGATAAAAGAAACATATTTTCTCTTAACCGTTTTTGAAATACGTCCAAAATAACGGAGTTATTTTACTTTGAAAATTCCCCAAACAAATTTTTTGCGTACATTTTGAGAACCACCGCATTTTTCTGGGTTTTCTTTCTTGTAAATTTAATCTACTACTTATGTTGCTATATTATAAAGAAATTATATTTTTTAACTAAAAACTAAAAAAATTCGATTTTTTTTTAAAATTCTAAATTTTCTAATTTTTTTGCAAAAAAAACTCATCATCAAAACAATCGTGTTTCTGGATTAACTATAAATTTTATTAAAAACACAATTAAATCGTATACTAACAATGAAAATGTAGTATCCCAGTCGATCGCAGTGCCTCTGCTGTCAAACCGAGGAAGCTGCTTAAAAGTGGGGACAGAAATTTCAAATTTGCCCATTGCCGATAAATCTCCTTTTTTAAGCCCTCCATAGTCAAAGGTTTCTCATGAATTTACATTTGAACTAATATCATATTTTTATGCAACCAAAAATACACAATTTAATTTTGAAAAAAAAAATAGGATAATCAAAATTATAAGCTAAATTTTATAATAAAACCATCACCGATTAGTTTATTAACATTAATCAATTAAAATATGTCTTGGATTATTTTGATTTCTATGATTAGATTCTAATAATCCCAAATAAAATCACAGACAAAATACCTATATTCAAGGATGTTTTTAAACTTACACACATGCGTCATAGATGGCGCCACATGTTTTAAGAGTTCACTTTGGAAAAATTATTTTAAAATTGTAAAAATGTATTTAAAACATCATTATAACTTCAAAGAAAATAAAAAAATCTCAGTTATTTGATTATTACTGACCAATATTTTGTATTTTGTTAAAAAAAATTAAATAAAATTTAAGTTAATTATAGAGTGATAATAAAAATAAGAAGTTTAAAACATTATTTTCATTTATTTTTTTAGGATTAAAAAAGCAACTGAACCGTACGATCGGAAAAAACGTCAAGTTGGCTAGGAAATTACAATCTATGATATTTCATATAATTTTACAGAGAAATAGCTCTGGAAATAGACAGCACATGCCATCTCTCACGCTCATTTTGTAGGATTAACATATTTTATTATATTATATATTATGATGACAGATGAAAAAATTACACTATTTTTTTATTTTAATACAAAGCCTGTTGGGAGGGGGGCGAGTTAAACTCGCTTAAAGTCCATTTTCCGAGTCATGCTTTTTGAAACAAAACAAATAAGAATTATAAATTACCTAGTATCTTGATCAAACCTCTACCACGCGACTGCTTTATTATTATATTTCCTCTGATGTTATTTTTTATTATTTTATTTTAAACGCTTAATGGCTTAAGCCTTTAGTTGATAATTATCATCAGGAGAGATATTATTCAAAATAAAAGATCATTTTCTAATAAAATAAAAATACTCATGGAATCATTATTAAATCACTCATGAGATCTCATTTGAATAAATCAACTCAAAACAAAATTAATTATATACACTGTTTAACTTTCCTCTCCGGCTTGATAAAGATATTTTCTCTCTCTTCTTGTTTCTTGTGGACGTTGAAATAATTATACCATCAAGTCAGACTCATGCCGCAGATAAAGAAGTAACATAGTCAAGTCAGGTTGTGTTTTTAACGGGTGGGCGGAGTCGGCAAGCACCTGTGTGACCGTGCGGCCAATGAGAACAGAGAACACGCCCGTTAGTTTACCTGAGATAGGGATAAGATTACGTGTCAATTGCGCCGGTATGGAATGTAATTCAGAGTGATAAAAATGTTATGTTGATAACTTGGGAAGAAGACGAATTAAACGTTAAAAAAACATTGTTTGGCTTGTTAAATTTATAACTATATTAAAGTCCTTTAGTATGATATTAAAAAGTCATTTATGATCAAATCTAGAGCGCTTTGTTTTCGATATTTAAAAAAAATATCTGTACCTCAGAAGCATTTGGGCTGAAGTCCAGTTTTTATAATTTTACAAGAGAGCGAGAAATGTGAAATGCCTATACACTAAAGATATAGGGACCTCAGTCCACTATTTGCTTTTTTTCTTATCATATGTTCGACTCCAGCAGAAAGCCATGATAAATAGTATGTTCAAAAGTTCCATAAACAACATTTAGTAAAAAAGTGACTTTAGCCCAACTGCTTCTGAAGTACAGATATAGCATAGTATCACAGATAGTATAAGGAAATTAGTAGCTTTACTCCTGGTCAAATCCTTTGTTCTTTTTCTGTCACTTATATATGACCTTGTTCGCGCGTCCCGTGACCACTGACGTAGCTGTATATATCGTGGTCTATAACTAGACAAAGTATAGTCGTGGCACTCGCCATAGTTTCACAGAGATGTATTTAGGAAAATATGAGGTCACAATAAAATAAAATAAATTGATCATCGAGTAAAAATTTGTTTGAAAACAGAATATTTTCACATTTCGTGTAAGTAACAATTTTTCTGTATCTGAAAATCTTTTGATGGGAAGAAACGCGGAAAAAATATAAAATGACATATTTTTATATTATCTATTACAAAAAACTTTTTTGTAATTTAGAACAAGTTTAATTTTAACATTAATATTGGTTAGGTGATTTTCATTGGATAACTAATACATTGAACAACACATTGTACTAAATAATAAAATAACATATTTAAACATCAATAATTGCTAATAAACATTACAGAAATTTCAAAAGAGAAAAGAAGCAAAAACAATGAGAAATAGCATCAATACTTTCTCACGTAATAAAAGAATATTTTTTTTAGTTATTGTTACAGAGTCCCGAAGGTACCGAAAGACCCGGGAATTAATAATTTCAAGTCCCGGTGCTTCGATATCTCAAAAGAACCGGGTATTTCCGCTTCTGAACCCTAGTTACCATATTATCAAGAAATTATGTTTTTTTTTAACTAAAAACTAAAAAAATTTCCAGATTTTTTTTTCAAAAAAAAAATTGCGCAGAAAAATCCTCATATTTCTGGGGCCAAAATATACTACCCCTAAAAATATTTGCACTTTTTTAAGACTTACCCTGTATAGGGCGATTCACGGTTATGGTACGTTATAGCGTTTCCGGAACCAGAGCTGTTTTTCGGAACCGATAATTTCGGTACTATGCCTCTAAGCGAGGGGTGTCTCACTATTGGAATTACATGTACATTTTCTTGGCAGTCACTGGCAGTCTTATGGCAGTCGCCTATAATAATTACATGGCAGTCATAGGCAGTCTTCTTCATAGTCATTGGCATTTATTATTATTTATTAGCAGTTATTATTATTTATTAGCAGTGGAAGGATATTTTGGCAGTACGTGTACATTTTTTACCCGAGTGAGACACCCCTCGCCTCTAAGGAACCGGGATTTTCAGTTTTTTCTTTCAGTACTTTCGGTACTAGCAAATTTTTGTCAATGATGGTCCAGTTCGTACAGCAAGCAAGGGATGGTTGTCAACAGTAAAATCGATAATGTTTTTTATCGAGGTTTAAATGAAAATAATATCAAATTATTAAGTAGTAATCAGTAATGAGAAAATTAACCTGAACACAAACATTATCACAAATGACTCTCAAAAAAACTCAAAGTACAATTTTTTGAATTATTACTACTACCAATACATACATACATACATACCGCCATTACTCGCTGACGAGTATTTGACACGCATCAGAAGATGGTCACGCAAGGCGTTTTCTTTCATGAGCTTTTCTGTGACTGAAAAGCCCGATACGTGATGTTATCTGTCTACCGCACTCCAGACATTCAAAAATCTCATCGCTTTGTTGCCTCTTTACTTTTTGGTTGTCGCTTTTAACTGACTTTATAATTTTTCTCCATTCCGTTTTATTGTGAGCTGCCTCTTCCCACTCGTTCTGCTTGTTAATTCCCTTTAAGTTTTCGTGGAAAATATCCTTGAACCTTTTGAGTTGTCCACCCGGCCTCCTCTTACCGTCTACAAGCTCACCGTAAAGCAGAGATTTTGGTATGCGGTTTTCTTGCATTCTGCATACGTGACCAGCCCATCTTAAGCGGGACTTTGTAATCATGACTTCAATACTCTCGCAGTTAGCTTTTTCAAGGATCGATACGTTTGAGACGTGATGGAACCATTTTATTCTTAAGAGTTGTCTTAGATGTCTCTGTTGCAACTTATTTAATGCGTTCATGTGTCGGCGGTACGGCACCCAAGTTTCGCTTCCATATAACATGGTGGGAATTATTATCGCTCGGTACACCGCAAGTTTCGTTTTTGTGCTCAAGTCATGATTGTAGAAAACCCTGTCTTTTAATTTCCAGAATGCTCTTGAGGCGCTGCTAATCCTGTGCTGAATTTCAGAGTCGATATTGGCCCTTTCCGAAATCAAACTGCCGAGGTAATTGAATTCCGCTACATATTCCAACAGTTCATCTCCTATTTTTATAGCATTGTTGTGATCTTCCGGGAGAGTGCACATGATTTTAGTTTTATCGA